GCGAGCATGGCCGCCCCTCTCATGTATCTTCTTGGCCAGGAGTTAAGGCCGTGTCGGTGATTAGATGAACCTCCTTTGGGCAGGGTTCACCTCCTCTTCCTCCTCCTCCTCCTCCTCCTCCTCCTCCTCCTCCTCCTCCTCCTCCTACGCGCAGTCCTCTTCCGTCGCCGGGTCTAGCCAGAAGGGGGGGCTCTGATTGTTTTTCCCAACCCTCTTGTGTTTTCGGCCTCGTTTTGAATTTGCAGCGCCGCGCTCCACCTCCTTCTCCTTCTGCTTCTCCTCGTCCTCCTCATCCTTCTCCTCTTACTCCTTCCCATTTTCCTTTTCCCTCATCCCATCGCTGCCTCTCTTGTTGATTTTGCTACACCCGTTTCGGCACACCCCTCACGCGTTTCACGCCACACATGGAGCTCCACCTAGGGCCCCAGTGAGGGTGTCCACACGGCGTCCCCGCGCGTATTTCGGCACATCCCTCACATTTTTCCTGCTTCCCCATGGAGCGACGTCCTCCTCACACGTTTCCTGCCCACCAGAGAGATCCACCTGTGGCCCCAGTGGGGGTGCTCACATGGCGTCCCCGCGCTCATTTCGGCACACCCCCTTCACATGTCTCCTGCCGCCCAGGGGGCTCCACCTTTTGCCCCAATGGGAGTTCCAAATGGCGCCTCTGCGCAATGTAAGCACACCCTTCACGCGCTTCCTGCCTCCCGGGGAGTCGTTACCATACGCTCCCTGCCGCCGCATATGTACATATATGCATTTACTTGAACACTAAGTTGACTGGCTCAAGCAGTATGGGATCAAAGGGAAATAGCGCGCGCGCGCCCCGCACTCTTTTGTTCCCTATCCGCTTAACAGACAGTCGAACCTCATACTCCTACAGCTATCGCTGTTCTCTTTGCCGCCATGGTCTCTCGGGAACCCTCGAGCCTAAGACGTCCTTTGGAACCAATGCCATGAGCACCAATCTTACTACCTGTACATCCTGATGAGATAGGCCCTGTTGGGCTTAAATTGGGTAAGGATGGGTTATCAACCGAAAACTCTATTCCAAGGATGAAAGAGGTTATCTTGGGGCTAACAAGATATTCTTCCCACAAGAAACACCGAATGTGGGAAACGACCTTGGCTTGACAAAACCAGGGAAGTATGATATTCAGGTCGACGGACCAACACCATCGACCTCCCAGCGCATCCGAGATCAAGAAAGAACGGGCGGCATGCCTGTCAACCGTGGACGACAGGATGCGCTTCTACCAGACGATGAATCGGAAGAAGAAGAAGAGTGGAATGGCGGCAAAAGCCGTCCCCGGAACCCGCTCTCCGATGACATCGCACAAGCATACGTCGTGAACTCCAGTTCGTCTGATGAGGAAGGAACCGTATTACCCCCTAAGAACAAGAAGGAAACTTTCTCCATCTCGAGTTCTTCGGAGACGATCGAGACGTCTGCGCTCGAAAGAACGCCTGTCAGGGAGGCCGCGGACCATGTCCAAAGTCCGGCCGGAAAAGCTATCCCCGAAGACAATGATGTTCAAACCGAGAACCAAGCACCGTCGTCCAGGGGGGTCGCGACGGAAGTGCGACGCGGAAAGACCCCGAGAGAGGACCCGGCTGACATCAAGGTGTCGCCGTACGAAAAGCGCCCTAAGATCGAGCCCGGCGGGCTGGGTGTCCATGACGCACCCAGCCCAGTACCGGGGGCCGATTTCGAGGGAGACAGCTCCTCGATTCCCCGAGCTTTATCTCCCAGAGATCAAGGTCGGGCAAAGGTGGTCGTAGTCGCACCTCGAGGAGCTCTCAACATGGATCGTCTCTTCCGAGATCGTCGGCGCCCCGGTTCATGATGGGGGGAACCTGTGCAAATCAAGGACCGGACTGCGCAGAAGGCCCCGGGGGCCGCTGCCCAGGCCGCACGCCCGATAACAGGCCATGTAAGAAGCCAGTGTGTCGAGGCTGTTCGTTCCACTGTTCACTGTGCAACCTGAATCACATGTGCCTTGGTTGTGCGCCTCCGAAACAACGGAACTGTTTTGCTTTCAAGAACCACGAATGGGAGCAACAGCAAGAGATGAGGCAACAGCAAAGGGAACAATATCGCCTTTCCGAAATTGCTGCCACGCGCTCAATGATGGCTGATATGGAAGCCAATCAGAAAAAGGCAGGCTAAAATGATTGCGTTGAAGGCAGAGTACGAAATCCACGAAGTCCCCCAGAGGGAAAGGAAGGAGAAAGCGATCCTCCATGAGGCTGCGCTTCCGGCGGACCGTAAAGCTCAGGAACAGACGAAGGCCGAACGTGCCATAGCCGAACAAGCACGTAAAGCCCTTCGGGGCGCTCAAGACAGAGATGCACGGCTCGAGGACGGCATCCGTCTGAATCTCCAGGAAGCCACAGCGCCTCATGAACTGGCAGTCTCCAAGGCGGAACAAGCCGCCGTGAAATCAATCCCTGAGAAACGCCGCATGGAGGAGAAGGCCTCTAACGCTCAAGAGACGGCCATGTCGCCCCTACGAGCCGCGCAAACGACGCAGCAAAAGTTGGAGAACGAGGCTCGGGCATCGCAAGCTGGAGCTGCAACGATACACGCTGAGCTCAAACTAGTTACGGGGTCTGCGTCGGCCATCCGGGGGGGGACCAGTGGGGAAGTGAAGGCGCTGTCGCAGGCAAGGGCTGAGGCTCTCGCTGAACACGAGTCGGCTTCCCGCCGGGCGGCCGAGCTGAGATGTATGCACCGACGCGCTCAGCGGGCCGTGGCGACCTCCCAGGCTGGTCATGCCAGTGCGAGAAATGAGGCGGAGGAAGCAATTCAGGTCATGCGGAATACCGAAGTGCAGGCTCAGTTGGAAGTGGAGGCAGCGAAGCAACACTTCCACAAAGAGGCTGTCTCGACCGCGCGTGAATGGGATGCCCAACGCGAGTTGACCTACCGACAGCAAGCAAGACAGCTGGCACAAGATGGTACGCAGGGCATGGCAAGCACGGTCAGAAGGGCTGCACCGGCAGTTGCGACGCGTGTCCGACCGCCTGGGGGAACCACGCGTCAACGAGAGGGCTCTCGATCCAGACGGGCCGTGTCCGACGAAAACCGATGTTTCATCTGCAACGAACCCGATGCCCCGTGCAGATGTGAAATGTGCGAAAGGCCGATCTGTGAACTGCACTACGACTGGATAATGAAACGCTGTCGCCAATGTGAGAAAGACAGGGCACGCGACCGCGGAGCGATGCGGAGGAAGCAGCATGAAGAAGAATAACCAGCCCTGATGAAGAAAATGATGCAAGAGGAGGAAGAGAACGCTCGGCCCAGAGACGAGATCGGGGCCCAGGCGGAAGCCAGGGCTCTCAATCGCATCCGAGAACTTGAGGAACACGCTGAACTCCGCGCGATGAAGTTCAAAAGAAAAAACGCGCACTCAAGCCAACGAGATGCGAGAGAAGGCTGAGGCGCTGCGCATGATGAGGCGCACGGCCATGCCATCCTCAGGCGCACGCAGAAGGAGTCTACTAATCCGGGGGTTCACCCAGACCGATGGTTCAAAACGGGCGGCCCCGAACACAGAAGACTCATTGAGGAATATAGGGCCGAGAAGAAAGGCTTCTACGGCCTAGAGGATCCTGGTCCTAACGCAGACCTGCTGAAAGCCATTGGGATCGAAATTCCAAGGCCGGCGCCCGCGCGCGTCGCGGCTGCGGCAGCCCCGCCGAGGACCATGAATCTAGACGAAGATGCGTTAAAAGACTTCCAGACGTTGCGCGCGGAAGCGCGCAACCGAAGAAGAAACGAAATCGTCCCATGGGCGGCCCTCCAGTGCCGAAGATGATAGTGACTGGGGCCGCGCAGCTTTAGACTGCGCGGCCGCGAGCAGGCGTCGCGGCGCCCCTCGCACGCCCCTCCGGGAAAGAATTGCGGGTCGCGACAACCATCGGGGAAAAGAGCCGGCTTGCCGGCCCTGCTATAACCCGTTCACGGACTCCATGCAGACCGCGATCGTCGCCTTCCCAACCGAACATAGTGCTAAAGGGATATGCCACTACGCATGCGTCGCCCGCCCGGTCACCAAGGCGGAGGCGGCCAATGACGAGATGGCTCAAAAAACGCTGATGGACGAGCGGTGGCGCCTGAGAAAGATAAAGACATGGGACGAAACAAAAGTCAAAGAGTTCCGCGACGTCAAGGCTATGATGAGAGGGAAAACTTTCCACATCGGCCGATTATTTGCGATCCTAGTTGAGAAAAGTGCCGAACTTCCCGAGGATCACACGGACCGCGAATTCCAGTGGAGGATCGCATTTGACGGATCAGATGATGTGGTTGATCAAGATAAGATTGTTGCATTATTCCAGGAGCTATCGAGCTGCCCTGCCACGATGCAGGCCAGCAAAGCTGCCGATGCGTACGGATTGTTTGAGAATCAGGCCGATGCTCGGCAGGCGTATACGCAGTCGAAGCTGGGGGGCACCCCAACTTGGGTGCGGTTGCCAAAGGAGGCTTGGCCAGAGAGCTGGGCAGGCATGATTGACCCCGCCTGCCCGCTGTTGCCAGCGCTGCACGGGCACCCCGGCGCGGGGGGATCTCGGGAACAGCACTGCGAAGCCCGTGCCATGTCGAAGGGATCCGTCCCGATTCCATGCTGGCGAAGCTGTCATTACCATGCAGAGCTTGAACTATTCCTGATCGTATACGTAGACGACTACAAGCTCGCTGGTCCCGCCCAACACTTGAAGACAGGATGGGGCCTTATCCTGAGCCCGTCAGAGACGGCTCCTGAAGGGATTGACATGGATCCGTGTGCGGTACGGCGGTATTATGGATGCGAACACAGAGTATCTGAGAAATGGCTTGACTGGCAGGGCGTGGTTCCGACCATGTTGGGCCCTCCGCCACTTAAGGAGAAGAAACCCAAAGACCTGGCTGACATAGGCAACCAGCCTGCTGCGGCCGCCCACGGCGGCGCGCAGGCGGCCCGCGAGGCCCCGATCTATTGCGACAGATCGCC